GAAATTTTTTGTATAGAGTTTCCCGTGTGAAACTGAAATATTTAGAAAAGAAAATGTATTGCTGTCTGTACTGGATTTATTTAAACTTATTTCTTTTGGGTAAATTCCGGCAGTAAAATTCGAAAATTGTTGATTATTTAGAGCAAAAATATCATCAATGTTGCTAATGTCTAGGGTTTTTTAGATTTATCAATTAAATGTAATTTAGACGGAGTTTACCCATAAACCGTGATTCATAACAGTGCAATAACAAGTTTGCTATTAAAGGGGCGCAATTGGTTACCATCGGAATACCTACAACATGTCGATAAACTGTATTGCCGAAACGTACATATTTATATGTTGTCAAGAAGACAATTAAATTTGAAGCTTTGATCATCTCATCACAGTTCCAGCTAGTATATCTAATAGAAAATCAGAGGATATGGGTTATCCATCCATGACACAAAATCAGTACATGCACAGCAAAAAAAAAAAACAGACACACACACACTCAAAAAGCAAATGAACAGCGCTTTTATTGTTGTTCTTCATCTCAAAGTCACAGTAAGGCATTCAAAACCGAACAAAAAGAAAAACAAAACTCTCACCTCACTGAAAGTTTAAGACGGCCCCTTTCACCGGTTTGAGCGGAATTCTTTGTAAAATAGATCGGGTTGACTTTGTAAGATGTAACAACACCAAATCGGGCCCAGCAAAAAAAAAACATACTGGAAAGTAGCATATTTCCCGTTTTTATCAAAGAAGAAGACTTCATATGAGTTTTAGCAAAAAAATCTAACAAATCTGCAACCAGATTTGTTAAAGGACCGTTTAGACAAATTAGAGAGCGTCTGTTTGATAAAAAAAAAACTACAATTACGATACGATTATGTGATAGTGTAATGTACAGTAAAGAGTTGAAAAATCAACTGTCAACCGAATTGAACGGACAATCAAAAGCACGTAGTTTATCCAAACATCCAAATACTAGTGGTTAATGACACTTCAAAATAGTTTATTCCATTATTTTCATATGCTTTATCATAAAAATTAATAACCAGTTTTTTAATAGAAGTAAGGGAACTAGTTAAAACCCGAGAAAGATTAGCAGTAGAACATTTACTTGAAGCTGGGAGGAAACGAAATATGAATTGGGTTTTGTGTAATTAAGGATACCAATACATAGTAGGGACTTTCAAATTTTCAGAGGAGACCTTAAGCTGTCCGGTGTTAGTGACATGATTATTTTGTATTTGACTCTGTGTAAAAAATGAAAAATGAATAAAAATTGTAACATCGAGTCTATATCATTTTCAAACTAACTCAAATCACATAATCATGTTATATATAAATTAACTTAAAGGACTTTCACTCAGTCAATACGTTATATATAGACTTCGTCCTCGGTCAATATATTCGGAACCATATATATAACATATTGACCTCGTCAAAAGTCCATAATTGATAAAAAATATATATGCAGAAAACCAGATAATCGATTTATCGGGTTGTTTTTTGCGTATTTTGCATGAGAGAAACAACTGTTTTCTTTGTTTCACCAGCAAACCGGAAGATGACATGATGGGTCAAAATTATTAACGTCGGTTCATACATTACGACGTCGCTTATATGTCCGGTTCAAAGTTATTAAGGCTGGGTCAACGTATTTGACGTCACAAAGCTTTGATATGCAACTTTATTAAGAGCTGAGCACAGTGATGTAGACAGGGGACGACCGATTAACCTTATTATTAACGTTTCTATAATACAGATTCGAAAATGCTCTGCGAGAAGTAAAATAGCCGAGTGACTCCTCTATATTGGGATTCAAGAGCAAAGTTTTGGGTGGACAATCGAGAGGATTTTATCTTATTTACTGAACTATTGTTTGGGGAATCCAAAAGGCGTTGTATATTTAGTATAAAAATAAGATGTGGTATGAGTGCCAATGAGACACTTATCCAACCAAGTCACAATGTGTAAAAAAAACAATTATAGGTCAAAGTACGGCCTTCAACACGGAGCCTTGGCTCACACCGAACAGCAAGCTATAAAGGGCCCCAAAATGAGGTCCATTTGCATGTTGGGTAGCTCCAACAAAACAAAATCAAAATACGTTGTTAAGACCCGATCTAGGATCAATTGGCTATCCTATAGACCCACAGGTTAAAGGCAGTGTTTAGAAAGAGATATCACCGGGAAATTCTGAGACCAACATCTCTAGATAGTGATAGTGCTTATCTAGAGTTGGACCATGGTGATGTTCACGGGTGGGTTAGCGGAAATGACGGCAATTTGGCAAACGTAGGTTATAGTCCAATGGGTCTAGTTTTCTGGCTTCATCACTGTTTCGTAGATTATCTTTGGGGAAAATTCAGAGAACGCAAAGTGACAACCCGACCAAAGAGCAGAAAACAGCGAGCTTATTTTAATAGATATAAACCAGTCACCAAAGTTCATGAAAACTGCTAAACGAATTTTTGAGTTATTTTCGAAAACTGGAAATTCCCCCTTTATATGAATAAAATTCCATAACTCAGAAACGACAAATCTAAAATTAAAAAAAGAACAAAAGGGAGCTTACATCAATAGATATAAACAATTCAACAAAGTTTCATGAAAATTGGTTAAAGCGTTTTTGAGTTATTGCATGTCCGACATGTTGAGGACGGACAGACGGATAACGGTATACCATAATACCATAATACGTCTTGTAAACGGGCGTATAAAAATCATCATTTACGGGATATATCTTAAGACTATGTTATCAGAAGTTTAATAAAGCCACACAAATGACCAGGCTTCAACACGAAGGGAAATTGACAAAATAACATTTAGCTGCGGATCCAGGATTATCTAAAAAGTGGAGGGGGATGGCAAGTCGTCGTTTGGAGTGATTTTTGTAAAAAGTCTATATATTTGTTATATATCAAGATCAATAAGGGGGGCCCAGGTCTCCTGCCTCCTAAAATCTGCATCTGTCATTGATAAAAAAAAATACACTAGTTAATTAACCCATCAAAATTCAACATACTAATCTATTAGGTGATTTTATAGATAATTATTTTAACCGATTTTATAAACCAGCAATTAATCTGAATGTTATTTGAATAATATAAAATAATATTCACCTCCATCAAATTACACAGATCGAATAGATGTATAACCTAGTTACAAAGTGTTATGTATCAGTCAACAGTTGTCAATATATTACAGTTATATCACAAAATTTCATTCTAAAATTTAGGAGATATCTGATTGAACAATTTATTGATGCTAATTAATCCTTTAAATATATTACAACCTCTTATCAGCATCCCTGCTGGTAAAGATTAGAAAGTCTAAGGACTGGGTGTGAAAATTTTACATGCAACATGGTTATTTATAAGGGCAGTGACCAAAGAGATAATTAAATGAATTAAAATGGAAACATGTGTTATATTTGAGGACCTTATAAAGTGAAATTTGTGATAAGAAAACGACATATGTGTGTTTGGGATACTTAGAATTCAGAAACCATGTTTAAATTAGCAATATGAATTGCAGATTATTATAGTTACAAAAATGTATAACCAGACGTGACACAAAGATATCATGATTGAGAACTTATCTGTAAATTAAATGACCATGAAAGCATGACTTTTACCAATTCTTGACATTCTTCCTGCAGATAAACTTGGATTGTAGACCCCCTAGTGGGACCATATGGGAACACTTTATGAAGTGCAAATCGAATACAATTTATACTGAAGTTTTATGGTTCATAAAATTTAGGACAACACTATTTTTATTATGTTAATTCATTTTAACAGTTATACGAGAGGAAAGTATTTTTTAATTGGTGTTCTGAGCCCAGCAAACACAAAAACATCTTTAAAATGTTTTTAAAATGTTGTGTCTAATGTCATCAAAATATCACAAAAAAACGTGAGAAAAACATTAAATGTATGGTAGAATATATATCGCTAAAACGTTTTCTAATATATTTTCTAAAATATTTGCATAATATAATTAAAATGTTGTAAAGAAATATCATGATAATGTGAAAAAAAATGGTGTATAAAACATTTTGATAATCTTTTAAAAAATATTTTCTAGAAATATTTTCTGAACGTTTGAAAAACATCATGAACATCAAATAATGTTATAAAAATGTTTTTTGGATGTTTTCTTGCAAGTGAGACTGTGCCTAAAAAATGTTTTCAAAATGTTTTAAGAAGATGTTTTTGGTTGATATCTAGATCATATCAATATAAAAATTTCTGTACTTTTGATTGCGTTTCCTGCATTTTTAAATAATAAATCATTAGTTAAATTAATTTATACACAGTGATTAATTCTATATACAAACAAGAATAAATCAGTTGTTTTGCTAAGCATATGAAATTCACAATTCAAAGTCTCTAAAAACAAGAAGTATCTACAAATTTTGACTCATCCAAAATGTCAGACACAACTCATCATGGTCAAGCCACTTACCAAATATGAAGTCATTCTGTTCATCAGCATTACTAATTAAAGTAATGAAAAATTTGAGAACATTCAACATTTTGAAATACAATGTATAAGCAAACAGGAAACAGGTGCCAGATACAAAAATGTTCACACATCACAGTTCATCACTATCAAGCAGCTCATTAAATATGAACTCATCTTTATCAGCAGTTTTGGGAAAAACAGTGATGAAAAAATATTTTGTTGGACAAAATCCGACAAATATAGGTGGACAGATGACAGACAGTGCAAGAAAGCCCACATTCCAACCACAATGGTATAATGTTTAGTTTTTCACTCTCAACTTTTATTACCTATCTTATACACATCATGCATATGTCAACCTGAACATGCATGACATATATGCCATTGGACATTATGCAAACATTATACACATTTTTAAGTTCAAGTTACATTGACTAAAACTTGTGTCCCAAATTCAGATTTTTCAATACAACTTCTCTTTCTAAACTAAAATGCTACACTTCTAATAGGGTTACATCTTAAGTCAATAATCAACACCATTTGACATCAACTATTTGATTTATTTAAGAATACACTGAAAAAGTCAATCAATTGTCTTATTCAAAATCACTTGGAATGTCTTGTAGTGTCATATCTTTTTCTTGCTGTGCCATGCTTCTGAAAAAAAATTAATCTTACATTCATATATAAACTTCTTGCACATTCCTTTATTATAGAACGATTCACGTTGCCTGAAGGATATACATCCCCTCCTCTTTAAAGTTTTGAAACAAATAACGATGATAGTCTGTCGGAAGGGGACGATAAATGGCTGACCGTGTTAAGAGAGAGAGCAATATGCCACGCTGAACTTCATTTAGTTATTAAAAAAAAACCACATAAAAAACTTTAGACTAGATATGTGTCCAGTCAAGAGTCTTATTTCATTATACTCGTTGATTGTTGTCTATCATATTTTTTTTCTTTTATTGTTTTGTATAAATCAGGCTGTTGTTTTTCTTTTTTTTTTTGGTTTTCATTAAATGCATTGTATCATGTAGGGGCCTTTAAAAGCTCTGCTAAGTAACGTCATTAAACATCTTATTGTCCTTTTTAAGTGTTAAACTCTGTAGAGTGACATAGTTTATAACTTGTCATTTGTATCTAAGGGCATATGATACAGTCCTAGAAGTATACTATAGGCACATAATAACTTATCGAAGTGTTACACATTGTTTTCGCAATGATGATAATAATATAACTTAACTTCCGAGAAACACACAGATGTCATTAAATGAGTTGTTTATATGTATTTGAAATACTTCAAAGGAAAGCAAATATGTTGTTTATGAAAGCACACTGTTGGACTAAAAGATTGATTTAAATAAACAACTTGTTTCTATTTTGTCACAAAAAAAATAATTTATTCAAATATCCAGATATCTTTTCTGTATTGTATGCCCTTAATCTTGAATGTAATGCATTGTTTATGCTAAATATTTGAATTAAATATGGAATAACAGTAATTCTGTATGAAAATCTTACTTCAAAAAAAATTCTCCTGAAAGGTTGTAGACATTCCAAAGAACCTGCGCCACTTCCAAATTGTAAACCTGCATATTGAACTTGTCCTTTGTTTCTTTTCTTTTACCTCCTGTTAAAAAATAAAAGATACATTGTATGTACATTGTGTGTATGAAGCAATAAATATAATTTTAAGCAACAGTTTATATTATCTTGCTTGTACTGAAGTCTTACATAGTCTTTGTAATGTTCATTAAGCTGTTAAGGGAAATTTAATTTACTGTTTTGCAAATACATACATACACTGATTTTACTAGAAAAAAAAATCTCCATATTCAAATGGTGCTTATATTAGTGTTATTGTAACTTGTTTGTCTGCCTCGGAAACAAGGTATTGAGTCATGCTTATTGCAATAGTTGTTGTTGGTTTAAGTCTGTGAAATTTCTTTTTCATAATGTGTATCTAATGTAGGCAGTTAGTTGTTTTGTTTCAATTGTGTTGAGAAAAATTTAACATTTGTTTGTCAAGGCTTCAAAGTGGACTATATGGCATTGGTTTTCTCAGTTTTGAAAGCCGTACACTGACCTATAATTTCTTTTATCCAAGTCATTTAAATTCTGGTGGATAGTTGTCTCATACACCTTATCGCTATTTCAGTATTTGGAAATCTGTCCTGCTTGAACTTTTTACGTCAGCATACATGTACGTCATACAATAATACACCTTATCGCTATTCCCACTTGACCCGAGAATCTATCCTGCTTGAACTTTTGACGTCAAACAACAATCACTTTTCCATTGTGGCATCAGATATTTTTTATGATGACGTCAAAATTTTAAGGGAACTTGTGACAGTTGTGTGATGTCCAGTAATGGCGGACAAATAGCGATAAGGTGTATGTATTACTTTCAATTGTGGTGTCAAATATTTCTAATATGACGTCAACATTTTACGGGAACTTTTGTGATGTCCATGGCCAGTAATGGCGGACAAATAGCGATAAGGTGTATTGGCAATCAAACACACAAGCCACATATCCTTATAATTTTTTTATATCAATGAACAAATTCATAATTGGTGTACGTAGTTGCTTGAACAGTGGCGGATTTAGGGACCCCGACCCCCTTATGGACTACTTATAAGATAAATGTATAGACTATTTACAAGTATCACTCCAAACGTTTGCTTGCCTTGGGCAGGGGCCCCCCTTTTTTCAAACCAGATCCGCACCTCCAGAAACAGATGTAATTTGGTTCCGATTATGATTGAACACACACAATGAATGCACAAGTTTCACCTTAACAGATTAATCATTCTTACCAAGTGAGTATATATCGCGTAACAAACAATTTTCTTAACTCTCTTTGTTGATATCCTGTCTTCGTTTCGAAATTCAAATTTCAAAATCATTTCCGGTGATAAAAAAAAAGTCGATTCCGGAAAAGGTCGGTTTTCCGTAAGGCATATAAACGATACGAAAATTGAACTTAGTACAGTTACAGTTTTCATTTCTTAATTTCTTAAATATACACGAACGAAATGAATAAACATTAAAGAAAGGTGATTGTTTATTAATACATTATTGCTTAATTTAATGTTGACTCTTTTGAATTTTAATATAAGAAGGAATAAAATCTGACTTCAAGGATCTTCAAGATATCAAGTAAGGATTTCAACCATAGTATCTTGCTTGTCATGATATTGCATATGAAATGTAGTACTATATCTTATCCTGAAAAAACGAGCTAATTCCACAAAACGTTGTTTGTGGGGTTTTGAATAAAGTTTAAATAAAATGTTATTTTTATATCCGTAAAATGTTGAATAAAATATCAGTAAGACTATTAAATAATGTGTATGTCAAAATATTTTATAGAAAACATTTAGCTGATATTTTTCAGATGTTTTATGTAAAACATTTTAATTTTACGTTATAAAACATTTTATGCAAATAGCAAAACTATATTTTCTATAAAACATTTTTTTGCAGAATGTTTTTTGGATATTTTGAAAATATTTACTTTAAATGTTGTTAAAATATAAAATACCAATTGAAGAAAATATTATTTTTTTATATTATAAAATATCTACGGGATATTTTAGAACAATGTTTGAGAACATGAACAAAAGATATTAGCAAATAATATTTTGTTAATGTTGTAAAGACATTTTACTTAAATGTTAGAAATAAAACATTTTAAAAACAATAAAATAAACATTTTTTTATGTTTAAATGATATCTTATTGAAATATTTTGTGAGAGACGTACATATGACATTTAAAAAATGTTTTTAAAATGTTGTGTGTTTGCTGGGAGATCTGTGCGACAAGATGGCAGACCAAGTGTACTTATAAAGGAGGAATGAGCACTTCAAAGTATCGTACACTTATTTCGTTTATTTTAAAGCTCATTACAGTTCAAGAAAGTTTGAGTGATATCGTAAATACACAGGTATGTGAAAAATAAAAAGACCAAAGCATATTTCAACTCAAGTATTGTTATTTAAGGAATGACTGTAATATTTTTTCTGTCTATGAAGAAATAACATCAAAAATGTGGTGCACACTGAATAACCAGCGTAGCGGGTTATTTTAAAGTGTGCACCACATTTTTTATGTTATTTCGAATAGACAGAAAAAATATGACAGTCATTTCTTATAATTTAATTCTAAATTCCATTTTTAACCGGAGTTAACCATGAAAAAACGTTGATGACGTCACGGTCACATGACAAAATTATGTCTATGAGCTGATAAACAAAACAACGTCAGCCAATCAGAAGACGCGTTACATCCAAAATTAAATTATTATAAATTGTTACTGTTTGTATTATATTTGAAAGTTTCGCTAGAAAGATATGACATGGTGTTCTCATGTCCGTTGTTGTTTAATTTCATATTTAAATCTTACAGACATGTTTTTGTGAAAAAATTCACAAAACAATGAAGAATTATTTCAGGAAAGTTTCTACCTGCATTTATTTCACACCTGGGGGCCAGTTCCTAAAAATCATTCAATAAAACTATATACCACCTAAAATTTTGCAGGACATTGGATTTCAGCCTTTAAATCATATCATTCATTTTTTTTTAAATAGAAAAATTTAAATGATTAGGAAATGTGTTTCTCTCCCTGTAGGTGATTACAGATAAAATTACTAACAGATGTGTTTGATATTCAAGATTATTAAAAATTAACATACATGTAATTGTTTTTATCTATAATTTGCAAAATTGTCAATTTATTTACAATTTTCATCAAAATTTCAAGTGGAACCTTTATAAATTTATTATTGAATTTTGAGTTAATCAACCCATTTTGAAAAATCTTTTTTCACATTTTTGATAATACATTTTTTGAACAATTTTTGTCGGGCCTCCGACTTCTGTCGCAGAAAGCGAGACATAGGAATAGTGATCTGGGGACGGCAACGTTAACTAACTATATTTCAGAAAGTAGAAGACCTGGATGCTTCATACTTTGTATATAGATGCCTTATGGTATGAAGTTTCCGTCTGTCATATATCCATTGTCATTGACCTCTTTTACATGGTTCAGTGATTACTTGAAAAAAAAGTTAAGATTGTTTGTAATGTTAATTTCTCTCTTATTATGAGTAATATGATAACTGTATGTAGTACATATGTATGTGCGTACCTTGCAAGGTCCACGTGTCTGTCAGAAAGATTTTACTTGACCTCGACCCCATTTCATGGATCGGTGAACAAGGTTGAGTTTTCGTGGTCAAGTCCATATCTCGGATACTCCATTATAAGTAATAGGTCTACTATATTTGGTGAATGGAATGATTGTTACGTGCACATCTCCAACTGGCAGTTTAAATCTTACTTTGAGCTCATTTTCATGGTTCAGTGGTTCAGTGGTTGAAGTTAAGTTTTTGTGTTTTGGTCTGTTTTTCGAATACTGTATGCGATAGGTCAACTATATTTGGTGTATGAACAATATTTTACGATGTATATGTCAGTCTGGTAGGTTTATTTGACCATGACCTCATTTTCACGGATCATTGATCAATATTAAGATTTGTCTTTTGGTCTGTTTTTCTTATACCATACGCAACGGGTTAACTATATTTGGTGTATGTAATGATTGTAAAATATATATGTCGGTCTGGCAGGTATCATCTGACCTTGACCTCATTTTCATGGTTCATTGGTCAATGTTAAGTTTTCCTAGTTAAAGTTTGTTTCCTAGATATTATATGCAATATATCATCTATATTTGATGCATGGAATGATTGTAAGGTGTACATGTCTGTCTTGCAGGGTCCATTTGACAGTGACCTCATTTTTGGATCATGTTAAGTTAATGTTTTACTTGTAGTAAACCTTTATATTGAGGACTATCAACATAAAATCAATTGTCAGTAAAGCAGACGAGACATTTCAGCGTGTGCACTCTTGTTTACATAATAAAAGAATCAGTCAATCAATTTGTGATGATGACCCTAAACTTGAGGCTCCAAAGCGCCTGTGTCGCTCACCTAGGTCTATGTGCATCTTCAACAATGGACACTCTGCAACATTGTAGACTAGAATAGAATAAATTTACTTTTGTTGATCTTGTATTGCTGATATTTTTTTTCTGTTAACAGTTTCTCTATCTTTTAATGTTTTTTCCCAAAACATTGAATAGGGTACAAAATTGTCATCTAAGAGCAATCAATCCTATCCAGAGCCTACAAACGATTACGGTAAATTTCCCTAATTTATCTATCTTCTATACAATGCTATAGTTTTTGCGAGATAATAGGCAGAAAAACTCAGAAATGGGTCAATATCGTCATTAATGAAGGAATGACTGTAATATTTTTTCTGTCTATGAAGAAATAACATCAAAAATGTGGCGCACACTGAATAACCTGCGTAGCGGGTTATTTTTAAGTGTGCACCACATTTATTATGTTATTTCGAATAATTTAATTCTAAATTCCATTTTAAACCGGAGTAAACCATGAAAAAAAGTCGATGACATCACGGTCACTTGACAAAATTATGTCTATGAGCTGATAAACAAAACAACGTCAGCCAATCAGAAGACGCGTTACATCCAAAATTAAATTATAGAGCAATAACTCCAATAAGGAGTTGACTGAAAATTTCGACAA